GGCCGGCCCCCGGCGGGGAGCGCGGACCGCCCGGAGGCGGCGGCTCTGAGCGGGCAGGCGGAGGGCTGTCTCCCGCGCCCGCCTGCCCGGCGCGGTCCGAGGATGCGGGGGGGCGATGCCCGGGGCCAGGGACCCGCTCTGTCACCAGGCGCTGCAGCTGCTGGCCGAGCTCTGTGCCCGTGGGGCCCTGGAGCACGACAGCTGCCAAGATTTCATCTACCACCTGCGGGACCGTGCCCGACCCCGGCTCCGCGACCCAGGTGAGTGCCGCCGCCGCCGCCGTCTGGCGCGACCGAAGGGCCCTAGGCTGGGACTTGGGGCCGCACCCGGGCCTGAGGCAGAAGAGCGACGCGCACCGGCGGAGGACAGGGGTGGCCGCCCAGCCAGAAGAGGGATCAAGGAGCCGCGCACCGTGGCCTGATGCTGGAACCCGGCGGGGACCCGGGAGGTGGCGGCTGCTCGCAGGCCGAGTCTGGGTGGGCTGGGGCAGGGTGTGGAGGGACCACGCCCGCCACCAGCACCCCAGTGGCCAGGGCTCCTGGGGTCCGCTCCTGAGCTCTGAGCCACGCGCTCCACTTCCCCAGCGCTGCGCCCCGAATGAGCAGAGGCCGCCGCGGCCTCCCGAGCTGTAGCAAGGGGATGAGGCCGGAGGAAACTCTGGGAAGTTGGGAGTTGGGGACGGCCCCCGGCTGCGCCTGAGTCCCACCGGGCGCCGCTCATCCTCGCTCCTGAGCGCCTACTTCTTTTCTTGGGTCTGGGGTGAGAAGGGCGGGATGGGGTCTGCTGGGGACACTGGGCTGGGGACGGGGAGCTTTGGGTCCTGAACAGCGGGGCCTGCGGGTTCCCTCCGGGTCGCAAGGTGCCCAGGCAGCCTGGGCCTGGACGTTTGCTCCTACTCGCGGCCCCCACAGAGCACGCAAGGGTGAGTGGGCTCCTCGGTCATGGCTTGGACACCTGAACTCACCCTAGTAAAGTTACAAACCTCCCAAGTTTGGAAAGTTTATTTATTTTGGCGTTTGACCAATTAAGGTTGGAGGAGGGGTTTTAGTGGAGCTGTTTGCCTTCCCCAAGTGCTCAGGGTCTCCCGTCTCTTCTCATCCACTGCTGATCACTAGAAAATACATTCCTTTCAAATACTTCTCACTTGGAGAAACAATATTCTCGAATATTCTCCCAACTTCAATACTTTAAAATCAAGGCATATTGTGGTTGGATTGCTTAAAATGGGATGAGACAATGACCTTTTCTTGTTTATTCCTGTGTATATATATTGGCAATGAGCTATTCCTGTACAAATTATTTAGTACGAGTTTACTTCATTTTAAGCCAATCCATTATATAAAAATACATTTGCCCAAAGGATAAATTAGAGACTTATTTGACTCCTAAAGAGATTCATAGGGAGCCTAACTTAAATAGCATATCCTTGATAGAATATTCAAAATGCATGTGTGGGGTGAAGGCAGCTATTAAAAGTTTATAACAGATTTTCTGTACTCAAAGCCATTTTTTTTCTTCTCTTGAAGAAGAAAAATGATTGTTCCCCATGACCTGGGGTTACATCAATACGTTTATCAAATGATTACTTCAAAGGAGAGGATTAAGTGGAGGTATACTAGTCCCAGTGACTTCCTGGGAGGTTTGATGTCCATCCTGTGTGTGATTTCTTGCTGGATGCTGTGTGCTGTGTAGACCACAGGGGAGAATGGGAGTGCCTCGTATTACCAGCAGGAGTCCAGGAAGGTGTCCCAAGTGTGGGAAGCTCTGTCCTTACACAGCAGGAGCAAGATCATTGTTTAACATGCTTCACTCCAAGCAAGCCTTAGGGCTGCGACCTCTCCCTTCCTCACCCGACAGGGTGCCATGTGCACCACTTGTTTTTTTTTTGTTGTTGTTTTGGTTTGTTTTTTTTTCTGGTACTGGGAATCGAACTCACGACCTTGCGCTTGCCAGGCAGGCGCTGTGCCACTGAGCTAAATCCCCAGCCCTGCACCACTTGTTTACCCCACAGAAGTTCTCATCTTTGGCTACAAGAGGAGGTGGATGAGGCCTGCATGCTGAATTGCATGATGAATATACCGCACCCTTTTGGCCTGTTTTTCTGTCTCTGCTCTTTTTAGTCCAGGGCTAGATTCTGTTCTCAGTTCTCCTCTGCTGCACCGAAGAAGCAGAGTCCTTTTAAGAGGAATGTGATCCCTTGGCTAGGAAATAGTAATAGATAAAGCCAGCCTTGCTGCTCTTAGAGTTCCTGAAAGCAGTGCTCTGCTTTCTTAAACTAGGGCACATGGGTGTGAGGTGGCTGCATGCCCCTCTGGCTCTTTGGTTTGTATCTGAAAGTAGCCTGCTTGTGAGGCAGAAGAGGGAGCCAGCAAGGGGAAGGTAAGAGGAAAGGAGGCCGAAGAGGACATCAGAAGTGCACCCTCTCCTTCAGGGCACTTCAGCTCAGGCCAGTCCCGCTCCATTCCCTTCCTTCTGCGCCTGTTCACATTAATTCTTGCATCAGATGCATTTATCTCCATCCCTCTGAAGCTGTTTGTCCAAGCCAAGAGTGGCCTTAATCTCTGAGCCCTAAAAGCTAAGTGGTTGGAGAAGCTGTGCTGCACAAAACTGCAAACAGCGCCCCTCCTATTGTGCAGTTGGAGCCAGAACAACTGTGTACAGCAGCCGTGAGATATGGGCCCAGAAGGCAATATCGCTGTAAGTGGATGACTTCCGTCTCTGCAAAGCAATCCAAAGCTTGGCCTGTTCTACCTTTCTGTGTATATTATCTACTCAGCAGTAGCTAGATTTTCTCAAGCTTCATAAAATATGTTAGTTAGAAAAAGGAGAAAAACCAGATGTAATTCCCAGTAGAGAGTCAGAGTGCTTCGGGGATGTTCATGTTTTTGGAGGTAGGGTGAGGCTACAGTAAGGTTATAGACCAGTATTCATGAAGCAGAGGAAAGATCAAGTGCAGGCAGGGGCACCATTGCTATGATTTAAACAATAGTGACTTCAGTGGTAGCTGAAACTGGGAGAATGTTAAAGGAACAATGGTTAGTAGTTGGAGAGAGTAGGTCAGGTAGGGTCTCATAAACTAATACAAGGAGTGTGCTCTTAATTGCAAAATTAATGAGCCATAAAGCCTTAGATAGTGTTGAGCAGAGATATGACAGTACTGGATGCTATGCTGAGAAAATAGTGTAGACAAGCAAGGGTGAAGACCAAGAAACCTGTTAGGAATTTATTTCAGAAATCCAGAAAGAGGTAACAAATAGTTTAGGGTAGCATTTACATTATACATACACCTTTGGTTATTACGAGGTAACTATCTAAATTTCTATGACCCATCATTTCCACATCTATAATTGAAAGGAGGATTGGATCATATAATTTGTAGTTTTAGAACAAGGTTTGTCATTTTCCTGGTGTTTTTCTTCTTTAGTGGGTAGGGTGCCAACCATGTTTTTGCCAAGTGCTGTATGTGCGTTATTTCACTTGGTTTTCCTAATGGTCTTCCAAGACCTTGCTGCTTAGGGCACTGGTCCATGGGCATCACGTTTGTAGCTTGTTAGACAGTTGGACTCTCAGGCCCACTGAGACCTATTGAATAAATATCAATCTGTGCATGTATGGGCTTCTCAGGTGAGTTGTGGACATATTAAAATTCAAGAAGCATTGCACAGATGACACACACATAAATTGAAGTGCAGAGAAGTAAACTAGCTTAAGGCCATGAATCATTCCATTAAAAAAAAAAGAGTTGGGTATAAATCAAAGGAGCTTGTTAGGGAGTCACATTTACAATTTTCTCAGGTATCTGTAGGATATTAGTTCCAGGACTCTTATGATACTAAAATATAAGAATGCTCAAGTCTTTTATATAAAGTAATGTAGTGTATGTGTACAATTTATGCACACCTTCCTATATCATCTCTAGAATGCTTATAATATTGAATGCAATGTAAATTGTATGTAAATAGTTATTATGCTATATTATTTATGGAATAGTGATAAGAAAAATCTGTTCATAGTCAGTACAAATTTATTACAGATAGTTTTGATCTGCAGTTGGTTGAATTCATGTTGAACCCTCAGCTACAGAAGGCTGAGTATACTAGGAACTTAGGAGTTATTGTCCATGAAAATTTACAAAATATTTTATATAATAGCCATTCCAAGATCATCTTTCTCTGTTCTATACTTGTATAATAGATTTAACTCCCAAGCGTAGGTGAAACTTTGTGTAGTTACAGAAATTCACCTTGGTATTCTGATTATGAATAGATACTGGTTTTCCATTGCTGTTCCAACTTCACATTTAAGAGGTTCTTCACATGCTCCTGATGTCTGTACCCAAGGTCTGTAAAATGTTTGCTAAGTCAGAGGTAAATATAATTCTATTCAGAAAAACTTTTCTTTTAAAGACTAATGGCTTTTAACTTCAGCAGCTCATAGAAATACTTAGGGAACTCTAACAAAGAAAAACAAAACAACAAAAACTTCAGTGACTGGGCTGTACTTTAATCCAATTAAATCAGACTCTGAGGGTATGACTTGGTACCAGTATTTTCTTAAGTTCCTCAATTGAGTATACAGATACAGATCAACTTTTGAGACCAAAAGGTGAATGATGAATCCTCATAACTCTTCTCAGCTCAGATCACTTTTCTTTTTTCCAGAATTAGGAAAGATAATATCAAAAACCAGGGAACTTGTCAGTTACCCTAGTAACTGTTTATACCCAGTTTATATCTATATCACCTGATTCCTTTTCTTGATAAAATTGTACCACATTTTTATTCTGAGCGCTCTTGAAAAATATCATGAGACTCTATTATGTCCACCAAATTTTAAAGGGAAAAAGAACACATAAGAAAATCTTGTCCAAGTAATGTTTCATTAAAGGGTAGGGGTGTGGAGCCTTCACTAATGTCACGTGGTATTGAATGACAGTGAAATCATTTATTAGAAGATGTACATGTAAAATAATAATTAAATATAGTTTCTAAGGAAAAATCTTGAAAATAATCATCATGATTAAATATTAGACATAGTTCAGAATTTCCAAGACAGTCAAAATAGAACTGATCCTAGAACACTGGATTTTGATGATAGGCTTTGGTATGATTATGTACAATGGTGTTAATTTTTAAAAATTAATGTTAATTGCAATCAGAAATAGTCTTCTAAGGAATGAGTGGCATATTGGATGCACAATATGTGAAGATCTAATTTGCATTTACTTCAGTGACATTTTAGGGCTTTTTCATAAATATTT